TCTTCACTCGAACAGGCTGGGCAGCATACACCCTCCCTCCCTATTTAGGTCACAAATATGCCAGGTGTTTAGCTATATTTGCTGTGGGCATTACGCTAGCCGCCCCACTAAGGGGGACTGGGAAGGAATTTTTCCCTTACCACCATATTGGCCAGGTGCAGTGGGGGGGTTTTCGCCTTCCTCACAGCAGGTTCAGGTAGGCTCTGTTCATGCATAGCATGATGGGCGGTAGGCCATAGGCTGAAACTTTTTATTTAAGTGTATTGCGCACGTTCAGTGCAGGTACTCCATAAATTAAGGCACAAAAGAACGAAAAAACGGCTTGGAAAAGGAATTAAGGAGAGGTGCTTGGTAATTGAGCAAGCCGGGGGCAGCTGGGGACTCCTATGATTGGTACAGCAGGGAGCCAACCCCCTCCATCATTATAATCCACCTTAACCCCTCCTATGAGGGGCATGGTCGGTAAGGAATTGGCAAGGTCCAGGAAAGGGAATTGCTAGAGGGACCTGGATAAAGAGCTGTGGAAGCTCCCCCCCCACCCCCTCAAAAAAATTGGCTGGAATTGGTAAGGTCCCAGCAGTGAATCTGCTGGAGGGACATAAATTTTGCACCTGCACTGCACACATTTTATCCGCCGGGTTAGTCCCAGACATCTGTCTAATAATAAAGTTGCAGCCTGATTAAACCCATATCTAATGTCTCCTGTCATTCTTTCAGCCTAGCCGGACAATCACTTTTAGCTCTTATCAAATGAATGGATCTGGAATGTATGTAAAAGAACTCGCTCAATACCTCCGCTGGCAGGGCAGCAACAGAGACCTGGTAAATTACAACTTCTTTGCTTTCTGATAAATCATTTTTCACCTTTGTATTTAAACAGCACAAAAATAGCATGTTTTAAAAAAGTGACAGCAGAGTCTGGGTTATAAAATGCAGGCTAACAATATAATTCAAAATTGGAGTTACATCTTCTCTAATTAATTCAGCGGTGCTTGCATATTGCAGCACAGATGGCATATGAGATTTTGCCATTCTTCAGAGCCCTCCATGCAATACCTATCACAGGGTTCATTAAAGATTAGATTTCTGCCTGAAGTGTGTCTGTGGCTTTGTGGACTGAAATGCCTTTAAAACATTGTCACGCTGAGCAAATGTTTAAAGTATAATATAGTGGGGACTCAATTTTTATAGTCATTGTGTTCTCCAAGGAGACTTGTTGTAAGAGCTTTTAATGGCACTTTCCAGCTAGCAGTCTACCTGGGAATGAGTCATAGCAATTGTAAAAAGCAACAGAGGGTCCTGTGGCACCTTTAAAACTAACAGGAGTATTGGGAGCATAAGCTTTCGTGGGTAAGAACCTCACTTCTTCAGATGCAAGCTTATGCTCCCAATACTTCTGTTAGTCTTAAAGGTGCCACAGGACCCTCTGTTGCTTTTTACAGATTCAGACTAACACGGCTACCCCTCTGATACTTGACACCATAGCAATTGTAGTTGCTTTTGTTATCAGACATCTCATTGGTCCAGCAGGGATTCAAGAAAGGCAGAAAGTGTAGGTCCTGAAAGATTATTCATAACAATAATCTGCACCTGGTATAGCATCTTTCATAAAGTGCTTTGAGATCGCATATGAAAGATGATATACACTGCAAGTAAACATATCACTACTCAGAACAAAAGGTGCAGTTTCTTCAATCTGTCCATGAGGCCTAACAGGTCAGCATTCACTTTTGATTTTTGGGAAAAGCAATTTTCTTACTGGAAAAAAATTTATGTTTTGGTTTTGCCCCAAATTGAAGGGGGAATATGTAAAATGTTCATTTTTAGGGCCCGCACAAACTATGAAAAAATTATTTTTTCACTGGGTTTTACTGGCAGTACCATAGTGCATGGCCAAAGTGTAAGAGCAAGTGCAACATCAGTTTTAATATCTGACATATCCTGCCTGTTTTAATACCTTGGGATTCTGTCCTATATTAGATGGGCTCATCAGTCTTTAGGCCCATCAGAAGTGACGTAGATGCTGAGTTTCTCTTTTTCCCGGGGTGCTCTACCCCTGCTCTGAGGCCCTGCCCCCACTCCAGCCCCTCACCTGAGTTCCTGCCCTCACTTCACCTCTTCCAGCCCCCACTCCTCCCCTCAAGACCACACCCTCGCTCCATCCCCTCCCCAAGGCCCTTCCCTTGCTCCACCTCTTCCCGCCCCCTCCCTCTGGCCCCTGCCAGCTCGCTGCACTCCGCCGTGCCCCAAGCCCTTCCACCAGCCACCAAATAGCTGTTTGGTGGCACCCCCAATCAGCTGTTTGGTGGTGCCCTGATCAGCTAGGTGGGGGTGCTGCCAACAGCTATGGGGGGTGGGTGCTGAGCACCCACTATTTTTTTCCATGTGTGCTCCAGCCCTAGAGCATCCTCAGAGTCGGCACTTATGAGAAGTGAGTTTGGCCAATGCTACTGATGTAGGGATCTTGTAGAGGGTGTGTGCTACTGGAAATGCTGCATAATACAGGCGCACACACACCTCCCACCTGAACTCTCAGCATGACAAATCCAGAGTAATCCCTTCTCCTCACACTCATAGATCTGGTAATGGGGGAGAAGGGAACAATGAGGAGAGGGGCCGGGAGGGAAGACAGGATCATAAGGAGAAAAGACATAAAAGGCATGAAGGTCTCAAGAGAGAAATGGTACATCTGCACTGCAAGTGAAGGTCTGATTGCATACCTGTGCTAGTTTTAATCTAGCTAGCACAGGTAACAGTAGCGTAGATGTCATGGCATGGAATTCAGCATGAGCTAACAACCATATTACAAGCCCACCAAAGACCCTGGGGACAACTTCAGGTTGCTAGCCCAGTCCTCCATGTCTACTGTTGTTATCCATACAAGCTAGATTAAAACTAGCCTGGGTCTACCTATTCATGCTGCAATCTCACTGTCACTTGCGGTGTAGACATTCTCTAAAAGGGATAAAGGGCCGGAGAGAGAAGAGGGAATGAAAAAAACAGGGCGGAGGGCATCGGAGGAATGAAGTGGGGAAGAGAGGCAGTGAGGAGGAGGAGGAGACAGGGGAAATTAAAACATAAATGGGTTAAATTCTGGCCCCACTGAAGTCAATGACAAAACTCTCATTGACTTCAGTGGAGCCAGGATTTCCCCAGGGGAGGGAGGGAGCTCGCTGGAGCAGAAGGAACAGCAGTAAAAGGGTTGATGAGGTATTACTGTCTCTGAGGGGGAAGAGGTACAACCACAGAGAGGCCCTGCTTCTGCTTTTTGTTCCAGCCCCTATATATCCGAGTTCCCCCCATGTGTTTCTATGGGCCAGTGCCCACTCTTTTTTAAAAATCCGTTTAAGGACAATATCTTGAGGAAGTGACAGGCAGCTTTGCCAATTCATAAACTAAATGTAATGCCATTATACAAAACTTTCTTGAGTGATTCATAACTAGATAATTTTCCTTGGGAAGTACTTGGTAGTAGTTTTGAGCATGGAATTCATAGCAAATAATTTTATTCAGTGAATTTTGCCTCAATTTCTCTTCACAAATTGAACAAGAACCGCTTGTGATTATTCTAAGACTTCTAATTATTTACTGACCAACTACTGTGAATGTTCATGAGCAGTTTGCACCAAGTGAATTATATCAAAGGGATTTTTGTTGGTTAGGTTTGCTTGGAACTATATAGGTATGTTTTCTGTCCCCTGAATGGATTAGTGCACTCTCAGGTTCTGTCTATACTGTAATCACAGAGTGTGATTACTATTTGACCAGCTCGGGTCCTGGAGCACTGATGCTGGGACAGTGCAGCCTGTACAAGCCCACCTAGAGCCATAGTTAATTACTCATGGAGCTAGTCTGGGCTGAAAAACATGCTGTTGTGGCTTCACTGATCTGGGCCCCTAGCTAACTAGATCAAAACTAGCTCAGTTAGGGCTTTTCAAGCTATAATCACACCCTGTGAGTGATTACAGTATAGATATACCCTCAGTATTGGGTTTCCAGTGCAAGTGCATTTAGGAGTTCAATATTCTCCTTCTGCAAATAATCTCTAATATCCACTTAAACCACTGATTTTTGCAAATATTTCTGTCAACAATGGCACCTTTACAGAAAGCATGTATAGCCAAAGTGAATTCTGTTTTTCACTGCTGTGACTATCCATGGAAATATGTTTGAGATGTACATGATACTCTAGTTGTGCATGATACTTCCTTCACAAAAAAAAAAATGAAGAGTATGACCTCCAGACCAGGTGTGAAAGCCATTTACTGAATATTTAACATTTCAACAATTCAAGGAATTATTGGTATGGATTAGATTTTTTTTCTAATGATATTTACATTCCGTCTGCTCATTTGAAATAATTGTGTATGACTAGCCAAAATTATTTTGCATGACTATGTTTTCTTATATAGACTTGTTTGTTACTCACCCCATACATAGTACATTCCAAGGCTTGTATTTTTTAATTATTTTACATAATGATCTAGGCAGTGCCTACTTATGATCAGGATAAAAAAAAATTAGGAATTGAATAACCATGCAATCATTTGCTAGCTTTCCAAGGATTAGGTTTTCAAAGATGCCCACAAAATAATTCTGCATTGCCTTATTCTTGGCCCTGTGACATTCTTATATGCTCTTGGATTCTGCAAAGCAGTATTCAGGTGAGTAAAGACTGAAGTATTGGAACCAATGATCGGATTTAGGCAAGTACAAAATACACATTTGTGTGTATGTTAATAACTACCCATTTGCCTTTTTGTGTGATTATTCATTTTGTATGCACAAATGTATAATTTGTGTGTGTGTTTGCACACATGCATAAAATGTAGACTATTACTTGGCATCAAGGCTAGAATTTTCAAAACAACCTAAAGGAGTTAGACCCCTAAAGCATATTAAAAGTTAATGGGGCTTGGACTCCTAATTCTCATAGGCTCATTTGAAAAATCCGAGCCCTAATTTTTAAAATTTGGCCCTAAAAGATACTCTTTTTACAGCTAAAACCAAGATGCTCCCCAGGCCCTGGCTGTCCGGTCAGGTGAGACTACCACCAGAGCTGACTTCGGCATTGCCCCACAAGTACAGCAACTGCAGTGAGGTCTTCAAGAAGAAGAATGTTGACATCCTACCATCACACCGGGATTATAATTGCATGATTGAGCTGCAACAAAGGGCCAAGGTGCAATATCTGTGCCCTCTTCCACTCATCCTGGAACTACTGGACCATGTATGATCGGCCCAGGTACTCACAAAACACTATCTGGGAGGGGCCTAAAACCTGGTTTGGATCTGAGCTGGGGATGAGTTGAAAATGGCTTTTCAAATCTACTGCCTATGACCCACAAACTGACAATCAGACCGAATGAGCGAAGTCTTAGAACAATACTTATGCTGCTTCACAAATTTCCACCAGGACAACTGGTTGAAACTCCTACCACAAGTATAGTTTGATTACAACAATGTTGACCATGTCTTCACTGGGCAGAGTCCATTCTATGCAAACTGTGGCTTTCACCCCCCATCTCTATCCAGCCATACCTGTCAGCTCCACCAATCCCGCAGCTGCCAACTGGATGTGCCAGATCTATGAGGTCCAAGAAGAACTCAAGGTACATCTGGAGAAGGCCAAGGAACATTACAAGTGGTAGGCTGACCAACAGCCCCAGGAAAGTCCAGCATTCACCATCGGGCAAAAAGTGTGGCTCTCAAACCAAAACCTCTGCACCAACTGGTCACGTCATAAACTGGATTATCAATACATTAGGCCATATTACATCAGCCAGGTAACCAACCCAGTGACCACAAGCTTTAGTTATCCAGATCCCTCAAAATACACCCAGTGCTTCACATATTCTTGCTAAAACCATACATCAACAACCCTTTTGCTCACCAGGCTCAACCATCAACTGCTCCAGAGCAGGTGCAAGAACATGAGTATGAGGACCACAAGAAAATCAAATGTGGCTCCCTCTGGTTCCTTGTAGACTGATCCTGGGTCCAAAATCCATGCCCCTGACCTTGTGGCAGCTCATTCAAACACATCCCAGGATGGCTGAGGGTGCACCTAAAGAGAGGAGTAATGTAAGCCTCCCAGTGGGTCTCAAACCCAGGCCTGCAGAGCTGTCAGATACCACCACACTGCCACTCATCCACAGCAATAGGCAGCTTATGCTCCACTATCCATGACCCCCTGTGGATGTAGACCACAGGAAGTCCTGCCTCAAGTGGTCTGACAGGCAGTAGCCTCATGGCTCCTGATTGGCTCCCAGCCCTATATAAATCCAAAGAGCATTCCAGGAAGAGTGCCTAGGTAACCGTGTGGATTTCCTGTAGCTGCCATGGCTATTCCTGCTCCCTGCTCTTGAAACCTTGGCTTTGACTTTGCCTTAATTTGGACCTCACCTCCTGACCCGGACTCCGAAACTTGACTCAGACTCTGATCCTTGATATTGACCCTGGCCTGGAACTTGACTACAAACTCTTCACACACACGTGTTCCTATTTCCAAAGCACTGTGAAACCTTCTCTTGAAATAGGGTCTAGAAGACAAAGGGACCAAGAAAGCTCTGCGGAGGCTTTGTAGAGATTTCCTTTCATTCTGCAGGACAGCTGGGCAGGAAATGGTTTTCCTGTCTGACAGAGATTTTGAGATTTCAATGTTTTCCCCAAAAAAGCTTGAAAATTTTTGTGAACCAATAATCTTAAAAAGAAAAAAAAAAAGGATTGACCCAGTCAAAATGCCTCCTTTTAGCATGTTTGAACCCCCTCCCTCTCCTGAAGTTTTTCAAATCAGGAGATTCATCAAAACTGACTTTTTCCTGTGAACAGTTTTTTGATGAAGTGACATCTATCTTTCCTATGAAAAACTGTTTAGCCAGAAAATTCCCAACCAGCTCTACCCATCAATTGTAATGAGTCCAAGAATGTGTGTCCAAAAATTAGCAAAGAACAAAAAATTGATCTAAGGGGGGGAAATCAACCTGCATCACCTAACTCTCCAACAAGAAAGGCCTGTAGTATCAACAGTGGCAGATTTCTGCAACTACTTCTTTATGTGAGCTACATCTTTGCGATTAGATCCCCCAATGTTTCTTGATTTTGATAAGAGGAAGAAATTCTGACAACACAAATGCTATGGAGTAACACTAGCCAAGATAACTTACTTCACTAAAAACTGTACAGGCGGTATTGTGACACCTCGATTTGTTCAATGGGCTCTCCTGGCTATCAGTCCTCTGCCTTATAAATAAGAATATTTCATACTTATTTTAAAGAAGTAATGAACTAAAATTGAAAGGATACATCTACTTTAGATATTAGGGAAATATTTTTAGGGCAAGGTCAATCAGACATAAAACAGTTTTCTTTATGCAGTAGCCATGGCACAATCATTAAGAAATTTAATATAGAAAGAGTAAAATAAAGACCTTTTTTGTGCTTGAAGCATGAGACATTTCTATTGAAGATCCCTTTTACCCGGTTACCTGTGATTTTGCATCTCCTAGTATCAAAAGGTTAGTCAGGCCTGATTAAGATCCCTTCCTTCTATTGCACTTGAGAGTTACTGAACTTTTGCTCACTGAGGAAAATACTGATCTGAAGTTCAGGAGATTAATGAGAAGAAACACCGCATTTACTCAAGTCAAATCTACGGTACATCTGGTGCTGATGCAGAGGAAGGAAACAGGTGTTTAGTTGTGACACATTTTAGCACAATTACACAAGTTCTGCTGCAAAACGCATCCCACCCCAGCACAGACGTTATCTTTACACCCACTATGAGCCAGAAGTCAGGAAATCTGCATTGGTCAGATTGTCAGCTGATGTGGAAAACTGAGGATGTTGTTTCAATATTCATTTGGGAACAGCTGAAAATTAACAATGTTAATGGTGATGATCATTGAAACAGGACGGGGTGGCCCTAAAGCTATGACAAACACAAAGTCTAAAAGCCCTAAATCATTACAACATTGTATCTGTGCTTTTTAATCTTTCTACCATGCAAATTACATATACTAACCTGAGTCATCAATTGTCTGCTCATTTGTTTTTAGAGTTGTAATCGTAATGTATTTATCTATTTTTCATGAACAAGTTCTCTGCATATATAAAACAAACGTTCAGATTGTTAAACACAGCTCCTATGCATTACAAGGGAATATGTTCTAGTGGTTAAAGTTCAGAATTGGATTTTTGGAGTTCACGTGTTTATCCTGGGGTGTAACTGATTGTTGTGTGATCCTGACAAGTCACTTAAATTCTCCATGTCTCAGTCTCCCTATATGTGAAGTGGGGAAAGGAATACCTGCAGTCCTAACCTCTAAGGATGGTGGAATGGGTAGCTTTTATTTTCTAGCACTTGGATTTAATTAATGTCTATAAAGCATTTTAAGATCCTCAGCAAAAGGTACCATGAAAATGCCAAAGAGTGTTTATTACTGTAATAAATACTGTAAATATCTTCTACAATGCAAAACATACGGCACACATAGCCTTGCTCAGTTAGTTTGCTTATTTAAGAACAATGTGCTTCAGAGGATGGGCATAGCCTGCTCTCTTCACTTCACATTTTGATCTTAATGACTGTTAAATTCTTAAAAGGGCTTATACTGTAGAAAACCATCTTGAATTGGTAGGGTTTAGACTGAATGACCTTTTCTATTTTTAATTTCTAGATGCTATTATTCTAACAAAGCTCATGAGATTGCAGAGGACATATTTGTTATGGTGCGTTTATTGGAGATGAAGCAGGACTTCCTCAGGGACCAGGAGTTGAGAAGAACTTAGGCCCTGATTCAGCAAGCTAATGAGGCACGTGAATCGTTCCACTGTTTAAGTTAGGGACGTGCTTAAGTATTTTTCTGCATCAGGGCCATAAGTGGGGGAGGAGGCTTATGATATAACTTGGGAATTGGATGAACCTTGATTAGATGTGGCTGATAAATACTAGCTAGACTACAAACCTGTCCATTCATGCAGACAACTACTATGAAAGTGAAGACATAAGTGCAAGCAAAGCCTTGATGAAGAGACTCCTCAGCCTGTCTCCAGGGAAGATAAATAATAATGTACGCTCATGCCTGCTGGAGTCACTCACCGTCTTTCAACATTTTCAGAGGCATTTCTTTCCTAGCATAACTAGAGAGGAGAGAGACCTAGGCGCACTCATGTTTTCTGCATCCTTAATTTAAAAAGTCAGTTTCCAGTGCCAGCATGAGGATGACTCATCATGCCCAAAGCACTTGCAATATTAATCCGGTAGCTGGAAAGGGAGCTGTTCTACTTAAATCAAAATTCATCCAAACACACAGAGATTTGCTTGAAATTCAAACCAAGCTTATGATTGGCAGAACACTTACAGCAGTGTTACCTTCAAGTTGGGAGGGAGGCATCAGTTATGAAAACAGAATTTCTCCTTGGAAATCGTGCATTCAAAAAGAGAAAGCGTGAACTATTAAGAAAAGGGAAATATCAGAGAGTTCACTATATAAAAGATATTAAGTCCAAGGCTTGGTCCCTTCATACATTCTTGCATTATTAATTATTATTATTGTAACAGATAGGAATTAGCAAATGTGTATATGGAAATAGGCAAACCAAACTAACAACTTCTATCTCCTAACAATTCAGCTGGCTCCATAATGCAGCTCGTTGGATCTTCTCAACGAAGGATAAAATAAATTAGGTTTCTGCTGCTTGAAAATTATTCTCAATTTAAGTGTTTATATTTTCCAAGGCTTCAAGTCATCTCTTTGGATCATTTGTATAAATATAGAGTCGAGTGCTTGAAAGGAACTATATACATTTCTGTGTATCCCTAGCTTTTAAATAAAGCAGTCTCTGTTGGGTCGGAGAAAACAGGTACAAAGATAACATTTATTTAAGAATCCAACATACACAAAAATAGAAGAGGAAAATCAAACCCTTGAAGAAATAAGAATTTGCTTTTAAAAAGGTCAGTTAAATGACACTAAGAATCAGCATTGAATTGTAACACAGTATTCCTGTGTATTCTTCTATTAAAATGCTGTGATAACCACATCCCTCTCTACAATCAGAAATAAAGCTATTAATCTACCTTGAAAACTGGAGATCTGTCACCTCAACTGTCAAACCCATAACCTGACCTGCTGTTCAGTCCCTGGGGCCTTGTCTACACCAGACTCTGAGCAGGTTTTGGCAACATAGGGTGAAACCCTGACCCCTCTAAAATCAATGGCAAAAGTCTCACTGACTTCAATAGAGCTCAGATTTCACCCATAAGGGTATATCTACACAGCAGCTAGGAGCATTCTTCCCACCTAGGATAGACAGACACTCATTAGCTGTGCTTGAGCTAGTGCGTTAAAAGTAGCAGTGTAGCTGGGACAGCATGGGCAGCAATTCTGGCTTGCTGCCTGAATATGCACCCAGGGTCTGCGCTACTCCCAGCTATGCTGCTATCTTTAGCATAGTAGTTCGAGCCAAGCTAGTGTGTGTCTGTCTATCTGCACTGGGAAGCACGCTCCCAGCTGCAGAGTTGACATACCCATAATGGTTAAAAATTCCATCAACAACCCAGCATTAGCAGTCCCATCATGGCTACAGTCCCACCATGGCTACAGTGGTGGAGCTGAAGCAATGAAAGCAATGGTGGGGGAAAAGGGAAATGTAGTCATAGCCTAGGAGGGACAACTTTAGCTCTTAATTTAAACATTCTCTCATTCAGTCCACTCAGCAGGGCCTCCATCCTGTAAGATTCAGAGAATTCCAGCCTCAAGCCAGTACAGCACTTAAGAACATGTTTTATGTTTAAGGATATGTGTAGTCCATTGACTGTAATGGGATCACTCATGTCCTTAGGTATATGACTTAAGTGCTTTGTTGGGTTCAGGGTCAGAATTCTCAGCCTTGTAGGATGGAACCTCATAGAAGCCTGGAACTTCACTTCCACACCAGACCAGGCCTCCCCCCATGTTTTCCTGGCCCATCTTCCTTTTCACAAACAACATCTAGAATGTGAATCTTGTGAGTTTTCTTTCACCTGGCATGTGGCCTGTATAATGTTCTCCCGCCTTGCCCATTAAACACTTTACAACAATAATCAGAAGATCTTCAGCTACAGAAAAATTTAGATAAGGAAATTCAAAGGGAGCCAAGCTCTTAAAAATCTAATAAGTTTATCCTCAAATTGTATCTGATGCAACTTTTCAAAGCTGGCCTATAATGAGATGTGCCCTTTTTCAAGATATCATCAACTTTGGGAAGCACTATGAAGTGTAGAAAAAAGCCTAAAAAGAACTACTGTCCTTGCCAAAAATTACTACTGTGAATATTGAACAACAGAACAGTAGAGTAAGCAATATAAATTAAATTTCAGAGACAAGAACAGTTCTATTTTTCATAGATGAATGTATGATAAGACAAATCTTGTGGTATGTTAGGTAGCTTTGCACCAAATACTGTCTGAGTGACTAATCTGTATGATCAGATATGTAGTTAATTCAGAGAAATTAAGTAGTTCTATTTCTGTCTCTCAACAAGACAGTCTGCATACTTTAAGAAACTGTTATTAGAACTTTACAGTTCCAGAGAAACATTATTGTTTTATGAATTACACAGTTGACTTTTCTTCTGGATGTTATATGGTGATAAGTTTCTCAGGCATTTTCAAGGCATGCTGACCTTCATTATTAATCCTGCTATTGACATCAATGTGATTATCTAATTTTGCTCAATATATTTCTCAGTATTGCTTAAAGTGCATAGATGAAAGTATATTCAGTATACTGTATTCACCAACAATACAAATATGGCTGGGACAGTAGATAGCTGACACGATGGAACCCCACTGCAAACTTGGGAACTTTCATAACTAATTATTTTGCTCTCTGATGAAATCGGCTAGATAAATTAACTATTGTAAACAAAGTAAAAAGAATAGTCCTCCCCTTCCAGCCAGTATGATCCATCCAATGATCCTGGCTATTATTGGAGAAAGTCAGTCATTTAAGTTTAATATCTTAGATGAGGACTTATTTTTACTAGAACTTGTGATCCAGATTCAGGGCCATTCTGTGACTACTTTGTAGACATTTGCTGGGGCTAAGTGGTCACAAATCTGAAGTATTGAGACAGAAGAGCATTCCCCTTGCATGGGGAAATTCTCCACTGGCATAGAGCCACTGTAGCAACTCGTACACCTACCTCCCCTGATCCCCCCCCCACCCTCACCCACTGTCTCTGACATAGGGAGTGTGATTTGATAAAAGGGCTCATGGCTGGAACACACCACACCAACCATTGCATCCAAAGAGGGCAGCTTGGAGTAAAACAGAGTGGCCCTCAGACTGCTTTATTCTGTACTGCATACAGGGACAAGGTCAACAGCCAATGACTTCAGGCACAGATAACTGTAAAGATGACTTAAAGTAACCTTCAGTTTCTCTCCAGTACAGCACTGAGCAGGGCTTGACCAGAGCAGAGAATCGGGATCTGCCTAGAGTCATACACCGCTACCTCGATATAACGCAACCTGATATAACATGAATTCGGATATAACGTGGTAAAGCAGCACTCTGGGGGGCGGGGCTGCGCACTCCAGTGGATCAAAGCAAGTTCAATATAACGCGGTTTCACCTATAAACGCGGTAAGATTTTTTGGCTCCCGAGGACAGTGTTATATTGAGGTAGCGGCGTATTTTGAAGAGTTCTTATTCATTGCACTTATCTAATCATATTAGTTCCCTCCAATGAGTTTCATATGCCTCTACTTTTATGTTCAAACAATATTGATGCTGATTTAGCTAAAGTGGACAAGCAGAAAATTACTGTTAGACAAATATTGTAGTCATGTAATATATTCCTTTAAAGGCATCTGAATATTATCCAAAATGTAAGACCCCAGAGTATGACTATTGGGCCATTCAACCACAGCTAGTAGATAGTTCCCTTGACTATCCTTTGATTCTATAAGAAAATGAACCTGGAGCTAAACTTATGCCTAATGGATTTAAGCAAGCACAGTTCTTACTGCTCCAAAAGCCAGAATCCCTAAGGAATCTATGCATCTCTGAAATCTTCAAGTATGTATGTGCTTAATCATGCCAGAAAAGTGCCAAAATGTTTCCCATTTAAATTAATATAAGAAATATATTATAATGTGATGCTAGAACAAAAACTTTGGTCTGTCTATAACATGGTCTTCAGTATTTATTTCTAATTTTCAGATTGCATCTAAGCAAGCTACTCAAATTTAAATTTCCTAAATCCATATTGTCTCACTGTTGGTTAAAATATTCCTTGTGAAATGAACTTGGTAAGCTGTCCCTCTGGGAAAGTCATTTCATTGTCAACCACTTTGAATTTTTTTCTCACTTTAATGTTCTTGTTCAAATATAACTTGTTTTATCTAGCAGCACAGGGTCAATTTCAGTCACAAAATTAAACTTAGTGAAGCAAGTATTTACAATTGCCTGAACTACAATAAAAACAGCTTAAATCAAGTTTGTGTTGGTTTTTTGTTTGTTTGTTTGTTTCTCTCCTCTCTTCTATTCATTAACTATGTCAATTTATTGACTAGGTATTTATGGCCCAGATCTTTTGAACAGGACTGAAACATGAAAAAGAATTCATTTGATCTGCATGCCTTTGAACACACAAGGACAATACTGTAATAGAACATTCCTAAACTGTTTCATATCAAGGGACCAATTAGACTGGCTTTGGAAATGAATGCTGGAGATTGGACAGCGAAGATCATTTGTGTATCATCAACAATGAAATCTGTCTCCAAACAGATGAAAACATCCTTATTTGCTCACAGTGAAAATATATGCAGGCATGATGCTTTAAACCAGGGGTGGGCAAACTATGGCCCGTGAGCCGGATACGGCCCACAAGCCATTTTAAGTTGGCCCGTGAGCCACACCACGCGGCTCCGCTCCGCTCCAGTGCTCCAGGTTGTACCATGCAGCTCAGCCCCGCTCTGGCTGGGGCACTGGATCGGGGGCCACACCACGCGGCTCCCAGAAGCCACAGCAAGGCCCTGCTTCGGCTCCTACATGCTCCAGTGGGAGATGCAGGGGCGGTGCCTACAGACGGGGTAGTGTGCAGAGCTGCCTGGCCTCGCCTCCATGTAGGAGCCGGAGAAGGGACGTGCCGCTGCTTCCAGGAGTTGCTTGAGGTAAGCACTGCTTGGAGGGTGCACCCTGTGAGCCTCTCCCCACTCCTCTGATCCCCCATCTGCTCTCCAAACTCCTCGATCCTGGCCCAGAGCACCCTTCTGCACCCCAAACCTCTCATCCCCAGCCCCACCCCAGAGCCGGCACCCCCAGCCAGAACCTGCACCCCTTCCCCAACCCTGATCCCCCTCCTGCCATCCAAACCCCTTGGTCCCAGCCCAGAGCATCCTGCCCCATCCCAGAGCCTGCACCCCTCCCGCACCCCAACCCCAATTTTGTGAGTATTCACAGCCCACCATACAATTTCTATTCCCCGATGTGGCCCTCGAGCCAAAAAGTTTGCCCACCCCTGCTTTAAACAAAGAGAGGGCACTATAAGTAGAGATAGAGTGAGAAAGGCCAAAGGCCGTGTAGAGTTGGACCTAGCGAGGGGAATTAAAAGCAATAGTAAAAGGTTTTACAGCCATATAAATAGAAAGAAAGCAAAGAAAGAAGAAGTGGGACCGCTGAAGACTATAGCCGGAGAGGAGATTAAAGATAATCTAGGCATGGCGCAATATCTCAATGAATATTGTGCATCGGTGTTTAATGAGGCCAATGAAGGAATTAGGGATACTAGCACCATTACAGAGGGGCATACAGGATGGGAGATTACCATATCCGAGGTAGAAACAAAACTTGAACGCCTTAATGGGACTAAGTCGGGAGGACCGGACGATGTTCATCCGAGAATATTGAAGGAATTGGCGCGGGAAATAGCAGGCCCATTAGCGATAATATTTAATGAATCTGTAAACTCGGGAGTGGTCCCGTTAGACTGGAGAATAGCTAACGTGGTTCCTATTTTCAAGAAAGGGAAAAAAAGTGATCCGGGTAACTACAGGCTTGTTAGTTTAACATCTGTAGTGTGCAAGGTGCTGGAGAAAATTCTGAAAGAGA